GGGCTTTACTGGAGGATATGGCACATGGATCTTGTTCAGTCCGCAGTCCTGTACAGCGTGATGACCCTCATCAGTACCTATCTGGTGGCTTTTGCGTATAAGAACGTCAAGTTTGTCCTCAAACACAAGTAAGTTTGGTGGCTGTTGGAACTAGAATTTATTATTTAATAATTTAACAGAACCAGCGTCTACAACTTATTTTTTTTTATGAATAAGAATGCCTGGAACGTTACTCCAAAATCTTTTTTACACAGAAATATTTCCTAGTTGGTTTCTGTTGTCTCTTGTAATTATGGAGTAGCCCTGTCTTGTCAGCTAAGAGTACAGTGAAATAGCAGAACTACCATCATGCTCAGCGGGTATTGCCATAAATTACATTTAAATTATATTACTGATTATATCAAAATTACATTACTTGTCCCTTCAACTTGACAAAACTGTTCGGTGTCTTGACTCCATTTTATTCTTCACTGTAAATAAAACTTCCTCCAGGGTTTAGCTGTGGGGGTTTTTATTAGTTTTTGAAGTTGAACATAAGCGGTGTTGCTTACAGGGTAGCCCAGAAAAGAGAGGATGCTGTGTCCAAGGAGGTGACTCGCAAGCTGTCCGAGGCGGACAACAGGAAGATGTCCCGTAAGGAGAAGGATGAAAGGTGACCTCTTTGTCCTCTTCCTTCTCTCCCTTGTTGTAATGCTGCCTTAAATGTCCTTAAGGCTCTAGGTAGGGTATGAGGGACCGTGCCCTGTTTTTCCTATATTCTGGAAAGCATAAGTTGTACTGTAACTCTTGGTTCATCTTAAAACCTTTCTGAGGCAAGTCGTCAAGGGAAGGTCTCAAATGCACTTGGGATTAGAGGGGATGCTCACTGTGACTGTGCAGGATGGGAGCTGTCAGGGCTTACGAGCCCAAACCTCTGTCTTCTAGAGGCTGGTTACAACAAAAGTACTGCACACTTCAAAATGGTGGGGGTGCCAGGATATCCCATCCCTGGAAGTGTCCAAGGCCAGGTTGGACGGGGCTTGGAGCCCCCTGGGCTGGTGGAAGGTGTCCCTGCCCAGGGCAGGGGGTGGAATGAGATGATCTTTAAGGTCCCTCCCCACCCAAACCAGTCATTCATTCTCTGATATACAGTGATTTAAATATGCCTGAAATATTGTCTCTGCTTGCTCCTAGAATTCTGTGGAAGAAAAATGAAGTTGCAGACTATGAAGCGACAACTTTTTCCATCTTCTACAACAACACCCTGTTCCTGGTCCTGGTCATCATCGCTTCGTTTTTTGTGCTGAAGAACTTCAACCCCACCGTGTATCCTTTGTGCTCTGCTGGGAAGGGCAGGTCCTTTGCAGAACATCAGCTTAGAACATTGTCACATAAAAGCAGAGTTTACAAAGAAAACCTCCTCCCAGTCACGTGAATGTGACGTGAGGTGTTTTAAGGATATCACTTGGACAGTCTACGGAAATTCTTGTGGCTTTGCCATTTTAGTTGTAATTTTGGGATGAGGAGGCAGCTTGTTCTGCTGCAGAATCCCCAGATCAGTGTTAGCTGCCAGGTGCTCTTACCTTACAGGTTGCTTTAGTTTCAGTAACTTCACAACCAAAATCTTTTGTTCTTTAAGGAAATTATTATTGCCAATCAGGGCAGTTAATTCAAGATGTTCTGTAGTTAACCATTTATAAAACAAATGTTAAGAGAACAGGCTAAACTTTATGAGTGTCTTAACTTTGAAGGTAAGTTCATGCCTTTGTTTTGAGCTGTATCTGAGGTTACAATATTTCAGTTTTAGAACTGTAAAGACCATTTCAATTCCTCCTTTTTCATAAAACTTCTACTAAATGTTCTGTACCAAAGCAGTATCTTGACAATTATATGTCCTTAACCTGTTCCCTGCAGAAACTATATTCTTTCTATAAGTGCTTCATCAGGACTGATTGCTCTGCTCTCCACAGGATCCAAGTAGACAAAAACCCCACAGAAATTTATTTCTGTGAGAGACTTCAACTGCCATAGAAACATTTAAGGGCAGAATAGGAATTTTTTTTTTGTATTATGAGTGTAAGGGGGGGAGGGTTTAAATCCAAACTGATGGAATTATATTTCCTTTTGGTAACTTTACATGGTATTATTCAATATGCGAGTTAATGATTTTTTTTTTTTTCACTTAGCAAGGGAAGGAAAGGGGAGAGCGTGAGCTGTGACCAGACCTCACCTTTGTGAAGCACCACAGAGGGGTGATGGTTCTGCAGCCCAGGGGCAGCTCCACAGTGGGACTGCCCAGCTGTACCCACAGCCTGGGCCAGAAGGCCCCTGGGTGTCTGGTGAGCAGCCTCAGAGCCAAACTCCCTGATCAAAAAAGTGACAATCCACCATTTATCAATGTAACTTGAGAAGTTGTAATAAAAAGGAGCTTTTTTTGCCATTTAATTCCTTGTATTTCCATTCTTAAAAAAGTAGGTATTTTCATGTGTAGGTTTGTTGGCTCTTTCTGCTTCCAGAAGAGAAGAGCCTTCTCCTGTGTTCATTGGAAATACTTCTCATTTTTAAGTAACTTGTAGTCAGGACAAAACCCTGAACCTCCTAGAAAAACACTTTTGAAGTGGTTTGAATGTACTTTTTTTTCCCATTCATGTCCAAAATCACCAATAAATAAGAAGCCCTACCAGTTTCCTTGCACAGCTTAGCAGAAATGCTTTAGCTGGCTTTTTGTAATGGGTTTATCAGGCAATCCTGTCCCTTATTTTCTTGCTCTCACTGAAGCAGCTGTTCTGTTAAATGCCAAACTCCACTGCTATTAATGGAATTCTAGAGCAGAAGTTACAGATCCTGCCGTTACAGACTCGGGATCTGTAGGGAAGAAGGAGAAAGCTCATAATCAGATTTAATGTAACAATTACTCTGCTAATCTTTACTTCAATAAGATTTATGGAAAATAGAGCAAAATGAAGAATCTGGAGAGCAGGAGACAGAAAGGGCTCTATTTCTGACAAATAACCAGTCATAAAACGATTCCTAATTACCCAGTGCCTGCTGACTGACTGTAACACTTGTCAGCATCCTTTGGGATTGGGAGGTCTCCAGTCTCAGCCCTCCCCTGCATAGTTCACTCTTCCTTTGCTTCTTGGTATGAACTGTTCTGTTTCTGTATTCAAACCATGAAAATTCCCATGGGTTTGGTTCACTTCAGAGCTGCCCTTGAAATCACTTTTCTTGGTCAGGCATTTAACACCTCAAATTAACTTGATTGCTTCCCCTCAAAATACGTGGATTTTTCTGTATCACTTGTGCCTGATCATTCACCTCAGGAAGGAGACATTCCACGTTCCTGGTGCCTGCCTTGCACAACTGTACTTTGCTTGACTTATCACTTTTTTTATAAAGGGTATAATTTCTGTTATTTTAGGCTTTTTAGCACACACAAACCAAATTTCTAACAAGCCTCCAGCAAGTAACCAGTCAGAGCCCAAGAGGAGGCCAAGCTGGCAGCTCTCTAAGCAACAGGATGTGATGGGGCTGGTTTTTGCTCTGGTCCTCCCAAAGCACCCAGTACTTAAATTCCAATATTTGAACAAACAACATTAGTACACTCATTGTACTGCCAGGGCTCTCACTGCCCTGTCAGGTGTTCTAGCAGGTGACAGGTGTGTTTTCCAGAAAATCTGCTGGCTGGAGAAGTGCTTGGAAGCAGCACTTTCTTCTGCTATTACTGTCACCTCACTGAGTCTTTTATTAACAGCTTTTCATCCTACTGTAGGTTTTTTTTGGTATTAACAGTTGCTGAGGCTTGGAGCTCAGCGAGTGAGGAGAGGGAACATGGAGCACTTGACAGCCTGAAACAAAAGTCGGTGGGGGGTGGGGTGGGTTGTGTGCTGCAAAAACTCCTCATCTTGGGCCTTCTCAGGAAAGTTTGGGGCTGTCTTTTTTTTGTTATTTGTAATTCTGTCTGCTTTTGAGTTGTTTTTTGGCTGGTGATTGTTTTTTCCCCCTTGCAATCCGCACTAGAAGCTGCAATGATATATATAAAAGTCAATATAATAGACTGAAATTAAATTTCTTCAGTTAATGCTGAGGGTTAACCTGGAGCTGAGCTGCTGCCTGGCCCCCCATTGCCCTCAGAGTTTTAAGCTCTTGCTTCAAGTAAGGGTCAATACCATCTCCTTTTCAATTAAAAAAAGTTGGGAATTAATCTATTTTTAATGCACTGCTGGATCCCCACGTACGTGCGAAGGGAAAGGGAGAACATTAAATTGTACCTCCAGAGGGAGGGAAATTAGTCTGCTACTGGGAAGATAATTCTCTTAAATTAATAAAGCTGTTAACTGTGTGCTGGTCGAAGCCTTTGTAACAATGAACATTAGTTAATTTTCACAGCTGATAATGCAGAGCTGGGGGACGTTTCCAGGGCAGGGGAAGGTACATGGGGAGGTGGCTGGGACTGGCCAGTGTCCCCTTGGAGAGGCTGGGACACTGCCCTGGGATTTCAGGGACCTGTCAGGAGCATGTCCGGGGGTTTATTGCAGGCCAAAACCATGGGATGGTTTGGGTTGGGAGGGACCTTAAAGCCCATCCAGTCCCACCCCATGCCCTGGGCAGGGACACCTTCCAGTGTCCCAGGTTGCTCCAAGCCCCGTCCAACCTGGCCTTGGACACTCCCAGGGATGGAGCAGCCACAGCTTCTCTGGGCAACCTGTGCCAGGGCCTCCCCACCCTCCCAGGGAAGGATTTCTCCCCAGTATCCCACCTAACCCTGCCCTCCCTCAGCCCAAGGCCATCCCAGCATTACTCAGGACTGGTGTCTGCCCCAGGGATAGATTCCAGAGGTACCTCTTTCCCAGGTGTGCAGCCAGCCCAGGTCCCACGTGTCCCTGCTCCGTGTCACTGGCCCTCACCCCTCCTGGGGACAGCAGGAGAGTCTCCCTGTGGAACAACACACACCCGCTTCCACGTCCAGCACTGCTGGCTCTGAGCAGCTCTCGCTGTCAGTAACAGTCTGCAGGGATAAATCAGATGCACAAAATGCTTTTATTGTGTCCAAGCAGGATCCATCGGACTGCAGGTCTCATATACAGCAGGAGTCATTTACACAGACCACAGCTTCGAATACAGGAGGAGACAACTCAGCCCTGGGGGCTGCTCACCTGGCCCAGGTGAGCCCTGGGCTTGGGGACTCAAGTACAAGGGTCCTACAAATACTGTACAGAGCTGTGTCCCAGGAAGGACATGAGAAATACAGACTGAAATCATAGGAGTCGTACAGAGCAAATCCACGGGAAAGTACAACGTGGTTCTTCAGCTGGGCAAATTAATATGTACATCCTTGCTATCAACTCCTGTAAATGCTCACAAAAATCTGTTTAAAATGAGTCTATGCATTTACTTATCCCCGATTCCAAAATAAAGCAGATGTAGCCTTTCGAAATACGTACCTGATTTTTCCTGGGAGTTTCTCAGCAGTTATATATATATTTATAAGTGTCTATATCCTTAAAAGCTCCTGAATATTGAAATTTGCAGTAGCTCTGTCTACAAGCAGGCAGAAGTAGAGGCAGGTTTCTATATATGCAAAACCCAATATTTAATCATGGCTTTCTTGGTTTAAGGTTTATGGAGAAGTAGAATTTTGCAGAGAGCTGTTGGTTCAGTAACCTGACATGCGAGGTTGGGTTTCCTAACACTGCTCAGGGATGTTTCCCAGGAGCACTCCACAGCTGGAATTACTGTACAGTTAGGAGCTGAACTATCTACCTAATTCTCTGTCTTACAGCTTTTATTCAACTACAAACAAAACCTAAAGCTTATATTCAGCATATAAAAGCAAACAAAGTCTGAGCTTGCCCCTTCCATCTGTTAACCTGAAGAAACTTTATAGTTGAGATTTCCCAAACGTGGTTTTATTAAAACCTGAAGTTGTATCTGGCTTTTCTTCATTGAAAAAATAGATCTGTACATCCTTCTTTAATTACCAAGTACCTGAAGGTTATAAATTATTAATTATTTTTTTTTTGCTTTACAAGTGTTTTTCACAGCACAAGCATGAGGTGCAAAAGAGGAAAGTAAAAATTAATGAATTCGGTCGAAGGTAAGAAAATACGAGATTATTCTTGGTTAGAAGAGAGATCAACTGTGCTTTTAGATTTCACTGCAGATTAGTAGCAAGAGCACACATCTCAAAAGGTCCAGTGACAGGAGACACCGAGCAGCAGGTGCTGAATGATTCTCATGACCAGAGATTAACTCAGGGCTGTACTGCTGTACAGAGCACTTGGAAACCATGCAGTCCAGGGAGCTCATGCATTGCATTAGGATCTGTAGTCCTTCTTGCTGTAGGGCTTGTTGCCCAGAATATTATCTATTTCATTCACGATGTGGGATGTCATCTTTGGAAGGACCTGAGGGTAGAAGGAAGCCCGTGTTTAATCAAGGTTGTTCTAAATTTAAACCCAGATTTTATCAAATAACATTTCCTCTGGGGTTTTTTTTGCGTGACAGATATTAAACATTCATCTAATAACTCTCTCCCATAAAGGAGGAACCACTGGAATGTCTTTACTCAATGAGAGAATCATGGCAATGCCTCTGAACTTGATCTGTGGAGTATTGCTGGGCTGCAGTGGAAGGACAGCAGAGGGAGAGGAAGCTGATTGTGGCAAACTACAGAGATTAATTAAGGTGGGTGCAGGTGACATGTGATAGCACAGAATCCATCACAACATGTCCTGGAATCGGGTCCCTGTCCCTTTCAGACACATTAAACCTGCTGGTGACACCATAGATTTGCCTAATTAGGGTGCATAAATAGAATTGCAAGACAAAATACCAAGTACTAACACTAAATGAAGAGAAGGAGGGTGCTGAGGTGTGGGAGTGTTACCCCCAAGGAGCTGAGCAGAGCTAATCCCCATGGAGGGGCCACCACCACCTGCACTTACCTGGATGGCTCCGAGGTTCTCTATCAGCTGCTCCGGGTTGGAAGATCCCAGAAGGACAGAGCTCACGCCCTCATTCCTCAGGCACCATGCTGGAATAAAGGCACAACGAGGTCAGGAACAAGGTGGAGTGACATGGCCTCGCTCCAGAGCCTGAAGTTTACAGAACCTCTGTTTGAAAACTACGTCATTCTCTTGTGTCTGTGGGCCCAGGGTGCTGAACTGCGGGGAGGGAGCAGGGAAACAGGCAGGTTGGACCCCTAAGGAGGCCCAAAATACTCTGGCAATCACAGGCTCATGCTGGTGCTGGAAACAATCTTATTTCATGTAACTGTTGCCCAGAGAGGCTGTGGCTGCCCCATCCCTGGAAGTGTCCAAGGCCAGGTTGGACGGGGCTTGGAGCAACCTGGAATAATAGAAGGTGTCCCTGCCCATGGCAGGGGGTGGAACTGACTGATCTTTACACTCCCTTCCAACCCAAACCGTTCCAGGATAAATAATCCTTGAAGCATTCAAATAACAAACCCATCTCTAGCTGCAGGCCCAGCCCAAGCCACCCTTTGGCCTGTCCGAAAGACGACACATCTTTTCCTGCAGTGCCCTTCACCAAACCGTCCCTGCTGCCTGCACAGAGGAGAGGAGCAGCCCCAGAGCCCCCCAGGGTGCCCCCAGCCCAGACCCACCGACAGCCAGCTGGGGCAGGGTGCAGCCGAGGCGCTCGGCGATGGGCGACAGGTCCTTCAGCTTCCCCTGCTGCTTCCTGCCCTCCTCGCTGATGATCTTCTCCTTCAGCCACTGGTAGCACTGCAGGCCAATCACACTGCATTACTGCCACCTTTCATCTTCCAAAATGGGGACTTTAAGCCCATTTATAATTACAGGCATAATCTATACATATATATATATGTGTGTGTGTGTGTAACGGCACTTGAAAAGCCATGTCCAACCCAGAAGGTCGTGGGGGCTGAATGACACAAAGTTTTGCTACCCAAAGCAATTAGGACAGGACCAGAATGTCCCTGGATCTACATCACCCCAGCCTTATGCAGCTGACGGACTCGTTCCAGAACCTGTAACCTCCTAACTTTTCTTTTTGGACCATTGAATCCCATCACAGAGCAGAGGGAAAAAAAAAGGGAAATGACCCAAACCCCTCCAAAAAAAATTGTGAGGGAATATCTGATCTTGTTGGAGATTTTACAGTTCAAGATTAGAACATTAATTAAAGCAAAGTGGGATTTCAGTTCTCCCAGTTCCAGACTTGGAGGTTGGTTCTGCTGCACTCTCAGCAATTTAATTTGGACCCCTCTCACCATCCATCTTCTCCAATAACCTTTACCAAGAGTTAATAATACACTTTGGTTTGGAAAAAAAACCAACCCAAATGCAATTAAATAGCCCATTTCCTTTAAAAAGCACCAAACTGAGCAAACCCAGCCCAGGGACCCCTGTCACTCCGCTGGCACTGCCAGGCAGTGCTGGCTTTTGCTCAGCTGGTACAGAGGCCCAGATCCCATTTTAGTTGGGTTTTTGCCCAAATCCATGACATTTTAGTGCTCTGTGATCTTTCAAACCATTAAATCACATGCCTGTGCCACAATAAGGGAGGAGACCCCGTAGCCCTCAAAAAGGATAAAATCAGGATAACTGTGGAGATTTCAATGATCTTTTGCAACGTTCATGGTTCCATGACTGGTGTCAGTGAGGAGCATTGAGCACCACAGACCCCCTGGGTGTGACAGCACCCAGCATCCTGCAACCCCCCCTCCTGCCCCAGCCCCTCTCAGCCCCAGCTCTGCGTGGGGAACCCGAGCACTGTTCTAACCCAGATTCTCCTGCACTTGGAGAGTGGTTGCCAGAGAAACCGAGCGGATCCATCGATACCCAGCCCGGCCTCCTCACGAGGGATCTCTTTCCCCTTGGTTATTTCCCTGCCCTCACAAAGCAGCACATCTCGAACATGCCCCAGAGATACCTTGAGGGAAGCCCTTGAGCTCTCTGGGACCCCGTTGCCGTATTTCCCTGAGATGATCCCACAGGCCAGCGGGGACCATGTCATTGCTCCCACCCCTGCAGAGAGAACAGAGGAGGGTGTTTCAGGGGAGTGGGAGAGATCAGAGCTGTACCAAAAACAGGACTTCCAGTTATAAATGAAATAAAAGCAAAACAACTTCTGCTTGTTTCGATTGCCACTGGCAGCAACGTTCAGTCGGTGTCTTCCAGGGAGATGCTGCTGTTGCCCTTGAGTATTTATTCAGATAATTAATATAATTAAAAAATAAAATAATTATTACTCCTTAATGCATCAGCAGCATCTCCCTGGAAGACACTGACTGCCTTAATCATCCAAAAAGCCTCTTTCAGGAGCCTCCAGCCCCATCCTGGCTCCTGCAGCAGTGAAGCACCTGAACTCCTGACCAGGCATCTCCTCTGCCTTCCACCATCACTTCCTTCCTGCTGGCAGGGACCAGCTCCCACCCCTGCTCCTCAGATGCCTGGGAGAGGCACGGGGAGGTATTGGTGGCTTTGGGTACAGGGGAGAGGTGGCACTTTCATGGGCCACACAAGTCTCAGAGAGTAAGAAGCAGTCATGGCAATTAATAATTAATATATTTATTAATATACTATATTAATATATAATATTGAGTAATACTTCTTTACCAGAGCCACAGTGAACTGGTTTTTCTTTCAGGTCTTTAGGAAGACACCTGTCTGTGTGCTGTTCCCATCTGGAGCCCCGGGTCCCTGCTCTCTTTCTGGGGATGCACGAGCCAAAAGGCACAGCAGCCTCAGACTCACCAATTTTGTGATATAGCTCTGGCAGCTGAACCTCCACTTTCTCTCTCTGGAACAGATGATATTCTGCTTGTTCACACACGGGTGGGATCATGTTGAACTGCCTGGCCACGGAGTAGGCTTCCTGGGGGGGAGAAAGCAGCAGAAAAGCACTTCATTACATGGAAATATCCTGCAGGACACACCAGCCAACACTCCTTGAGTGTACAGAGACAACCAACTCAAGTCTTCCCTTTAGCAAGGGGAAGAGGGACCAGCAGGATGCTCCTGGAATCTCTCGGAATCCCAGACTGGTTTGGACTGGGAGGGACCTCAAAGCTCATATTGTTCCAGCCCCTGTCGTGGGCAGGGACACCTCCCACTAGACCAGGTTGGCCACGAGCACAGATATCAAACCTGAAGATACCTTGAATTCCCCTGGAATTCCATCAAAGCAAAATGACAGAAACCCCAGCTAAACCAGCCCAGACACCCAAACCCCCAGCTCAGCCCATCTTCTCCTGATCAACACCGGGCTCATTCTGGAACAGGTTCTTAAATTATTTGAAGTGGAAAGGTGCTGGATGGAGTGAAACTCCAGCAGCCCCAGAGCACTACCCAGTGCCAAGGCTTCCCCAGGAGGGGCCTTACCATGATCTCCATGGCGCTCCAGCGGGACGTGCCCCAGTACATGGCCATGCCCTGGTTGATCACGTGCGTCATCGCCCGCACAATTTCTGCAGGAGGGAAGAAAAGGAGTATGAGAAGTGCCCAGAGGCCACGTTTCCAGCACCAAATCCTCCCAAATCCACTCGCGAATTCCAAGAATGCTGACAGTCCTGAGCAGTTTGCATTGAACACCAATTCTGCTCTTTTCTTTTGCTCAAGCACGGATGAAAAAGCATTTTCAGTGCAAATATGAAGACATTGATCTCTTGCCTACCAGCACCTCAGGAGAGTATTTCTTTTAAAATTTAGCACAAGGGGGCAGCACAGTGGAAAAATAAACTAGAGGATAAATTCAATTTGTTTTAACATTTGTTTACTAAAACCATATATCTGGGTCTGCTTGATTTTACCAGGAATACTGGGGTAGGGGGAGTAAAGTTGCAAAACTGAGTGGTTGAACCCCACTTCACCAAGGGCCCTGTCAGCCTCGTGTGTCAGCTCTGCAAAGCCCAGCACAGCTCCTCATGCAGCAGTGACATGGTCCTCGTTCTTTGGGAAGCTGGAAGCTTGCAAGGCTGCACACCAGGACAGGAGCTTTGATTTCCTCCCTCCGACCTCTGCTGAGCAGCCCTGCCTTCTTGGGGTGGGGGGGAAGCCCACCATAAAGCTTAGTTTCATGGAATTACAGGATGGTTTGAGTTGGGAGGGACCTTAAAGCCCATCCAGTCCCACCCCTGCCATGGGCAGGGACACCTTCCACTATCCCAGGTTGCTCCAAGCCCTGTCCAACCTGGCCTTGGACACTTCCAGGGATGGGGCAGCCACAGCTTCTCTGGGCAACCTGTGCCAGGGCCTCACCCCCCTCACAGGGAGGAATTACTTCCCAATACCCCACCTAACCCTCTGGCACAGTCCCCACAAGCAGCCCCAAGCCAGAATTAACTTCCCTGGCCACAGTAAAATCCCTGTTTCTGGCTGGGCTCTCCCACTGCCCTTGGGAGCCGAGCAGTGCTGCGGGAACAGGCACTGCCCTGACCACCAACCACAGCATCTGAACTGGCAAAACTGGGCTTAACTCACTCTGAGAAGCAAAAGGAAACAGTTCTTGGTCACTGCTGCCCGTGCCACACCAGGCACCTCATGGTCAGCAGGCGCTGCCACGTCTCCCTGTGCTCTTCCTACGGGAAAGTGGGAAGGAACTGGTGCTCTCCACCTCCACCATTAACTCTGACCCATCACAAACCCTCTGGGGGGACGTGGGGCTGCCTGGAGGAGCCTGACATGCCTGTAAATCCCTGTGCTCTCCCTCAGATAAGGACTCCAGGCACTGCTGTCTCGAGATCAAGACGAGTTCCCCTTTACACCATCAGGATTCTCGTCCTACTTAGGGAAGAAAAGAGAAGGATCTTGGCAGCGAGGAGATTACACTGCCAGCCTGGGCCTTGCGTGAGATCCTGCTGCAGGCAGCCACGGGCAGCTCAGGGTGGGGAAATCTCCATTTAGAGCCTGGAGGGCTGGGCTTTGTTTGACACAGAGACCTGCCTTAAACCCAAACACTAATCCACCGATCTGAAGGAATCAGGAAAAGGAAATAAAAATCCCAAACAACGTTAAAGGCACCACTGAGACATAAAGAAAACTTCTATTTCCTTCCAAAACAAACTCATTTCACTGAAGTGTAAATATAGAATCGTAGACTGATCGGGGTTGGAAGGGACCTTAAAGACCACCTCATTCCAACCCCTGTCGTGGGCAGGGACACCTTCCACCTGACCAGGTGTCCAGGGCTCCAGGATACCCCAAACGAGCTATTTCCAGCTGCCTCGCCTGAATATTGAATTAAAAATTGTTTTTCATTTGCTACCTTCCTCAGTCTCAGCCTGTAAGTGATCCTCCCCTCCCTTGCTCCCTCCCTGTCAGCACCAGCTTCTCCCTGGGCTTAGTTTTCTATTTTTGCCCTGCCACCATTTGGGAGCCTTGACAAACATTTCGTCATATGCCTCTTACACATCTCAGCCCCTGGTTGTTTTCATTTCTCCCACCTCTACTCCTTTCAAGAAAAACCCAAGTCAACTCAGAAAATATATGTACCTTCTTGTTTACAGAGCCTGCTCCCATGGGGATGGGATGTGGGAATAGCACATCCCTGGATCTCTTGGCCTGCCAGCTGGACGCCCAAATGGCACCATTTAGGAACAGGAGATTTTTTTTTTTTTAAATATAAATAAATGTTTCAAATCCCAGAAAACAGCCCCTGGCAGCATAATAATAACTTTGAAGTAGCTTGAAGTTCCCTGGTAGGAATGTTGTCACCTTCCCTTCCTGCATTCCAGGGCTGCGGGTGCTGGACGTGCTGTGGGCACCCGCCACTGTGACAACAGGACCCCAGGGACCCTCCTTCCCCCCAGCTGGAGCTGCACTGTTGGAAAAGCCACTTGGGATGAAGAAAAAGCATCTGCCTGCCCAGTGGGGGATCAGACCTTCAGGTTGGACAGGACTTGGAGCAGCCTGGTCTGGTGGAAGGTGTCCCTGCCCACGGCAGAGGGGTTGGAATGAGATGAACTTTAAGGTCCTTTCCAACCCAAACCACTCCATGATTTCCTTGTGGGAAAAGCACAGGCATGTATGGTGCTGGAGCAGGGCTGTGTGCCTGGGGAAGGCAGCACAGCTCTCCCTGCACGGGGAGAGCAGCACCACCAGATGGTTCAGCAGATGCTCTGGGATAGAAGTGGCTTAGTAGGTGAACCACAAAAAAAGCAGGAAGAACATGGGAAGAGTCTCCACCGTGCCATTCATAATAAAAATGGCCCTTTTTTCACCCTGCCCTGGTCTCACCAGGCTCCACAGCCTGTGCCCAGCTGCCAAGGCCACACTGCCGGCGGGATCCGCAGCATCCCCAGCGCTGCCAACGCCGGGATCAGCTGGGAACACATCCCACTGCCTGTGACACTGACTGAGCACAGAGGTCACTCCTCCCTCCCGGACACAACGTGCCATGTCCTCGGCCTCAGCAGGGGCTGAGGAATCCACACTGCTCCTCAGCTCCCAGGCCTGAGGAATCCACACTGCTCCTCAGCTCCCAGGCCGGTCCCTGAGCCTCAGCTGCTGGCTCTGACTGGCACCCACGGGCTGTGCCAGGGCCCACAGCCCCATCTTCCCTAGGAAATGGGTGTCACAACTCCTACATCGAGCCAGGAGCTTGCAGGGGGCCTGTCAAGCTCCAGGTTTGTTTGATTTCCAAGTGCCCTCCACGGCAGCTCCTGCAGCTTGCAAGTCTTTCCTCCTGCTCTGTGTGTTTAGCTGGGAGGCTGCTCTGCCACAGGGAATGGCTGCATTCACTCCAGAGGGAGGAGAGGAGGAATGGGATTTGTGCCCATTAAATAGGGCGCTGACCCCAAAACACACTGCTGGGGGCTCCTGGCTAGCTGGGCTATGCTCACGTTCCAGACACACAGATTTCTTTACCAGTGACTATGAAATGTAACTGAAGCACAAAGTCACAGATCCTGCAAGTCCCTCAGTTCATCCCCTGATTTACCAGTCTGGATTTAACAAGGAACATTCCCCACCAGCCCAGCCCTGGGCAGAGCATCAGTGCTGGCTGTGCTGGGAGACCCTACTCTGTCCTGCCTTAAATCCAAACACAAACCCACTTCATCTGAAGGATTCAAGAAAAAGAAATAAAACCCCCAAAGAACGTTAAAGCCACTACTGGGAAACTTCCATTTCCTTCCAAAACATATAAATACATTTCAATAAATATGGAGTCATGGAATGGTTTGGGAAGGGATCTTAAAGACCATTTAGTTCCAATCCCCTGCCATGGGTAGGGTCACCTTGCATGGCCAGGCACACATCCTCCAGGACACCACAAACGAGATATTTCATATTTAAACTGCCCCAACTGAATATTTAATTAAAAATTGGTTTTCATTTCCTACCCTCCTCAGTTTCAGCCCCTAAGCCAGGATCAGGGGGAACCTTTAAGCCAAGCCTGCACCAACCTTCCATGGGGGTGTTGTTGTCCGGCCGGTTGGCAAAGACCACGTCCACATATTCCAGCTGCAGCCTCTGGAGAGAAGCCTTCAGCCCTGGGAATGGGAGAGCAGAGACAAGACAGGCAGGGTCAGAGGGAGGCAGAGCTGGCAGCACAGAACAGAGCCAAAATGGGGCGAAAATAAGCTTGGTGTATTTAAATATACATATTTTATATATAAATATATACACACACACAACCAACCATCCAGGGTACGAGAGGGATGCTGAATATCATTGTCCCATGTCACTGCAGTCATATGAAGAAGGAAACACCAGCTTGGCCACATGCAGGGCCCCCTCCTTCCACGAGAATTTGCTTTATTTTTGAATTCCCCTCAGATCTGGGTTGAACAGCCCCTGGGTACCGAGCGTGTCCATGTCAGCTGCCAGGGACTGGGTTCTGTGCCCTGCTCCTGTCCTGAGCTAATTTCATCTAGATTTTGTCACAGAGCCTTTCTGGGCAAGTCCTTGCTCCACCCCCACCTCAAGATGGGTGGCTGCAGGGGGACACTCCAGGGATGCAATCCCAGAGGGAAGGTTGATGCCTCGTGATGAGCAGGTGAGGCACCAGGGAGGGTTTTACCTCTTGTCAGAGGGGGCTGTGCCCACCAACACTGAGCAAAGGGCAGAGGGAGTTTGGCAGAGCAAGTCAAGGCACTTTGCAGCTCAGTCCATAACTGTCCAGGCTTTGACAGCCTCTCTGGGAGGATCTGATGGGAGATGGCATTGAAACCCTACAGATATATACATATATAGATATATACACACGTGTGTATGAGAGAGGGAGAGAGAAGAAGAAGATGGGCATTTTATCTATCTCAAAATTCAGCAAACATTTTCAGCCTCCTCTATTTTGACTCATTCTTCATGAACATTCATAAAAACATTTTGTTCTTGGGAAGATTTATAGAAAATAAGTGTCAGAAATCCTCCTCTCTCTCACGCACACAGACATATATATATATACAGACATATATGTGTATAAAATAGCTAACATTGACCTTAACATCATTTGCTCTGTGTTCTGTAAAGTTTTTCCAACTGCTGCCAGGGTTTTTCCATCATTTCGTGAAGCAGTTCCACAAGAAATGAAAACAGATGGGTTTGGAGCACCTGTGACATGGCTGCCCCTTCCCTGAGCACCTCTGGGTCCAGTGTCACCACCTCACAGAGGGTTATTCAAATAAAAACTCAACAAAATGCTGCCAAAAACTTTCTCCAGCATTACCTTAGTCTGAAAGTCACATTCCAATGTAGCTGAATCCTGCAAACACTCCATGGTGAAAACTTTCCAGGGCAATCCCAGGTGTATGGAAAATTCACCATGCTCCAGGGATGCTCCTGATCAGGATCAGGAAGGAGGAGGATGGAAGGAGCCAAACCTGTGCCCCGGGAAGGGGCTGCTCTGCTTTTGGCCATGCTCATCCCACGTGACCTGCTTGGGACAGCACCAGCCAGGGCAGGATGAGGGGCAGTGACATCCTGGGTGAGGGTGGGAGATGTAATATTTGTCATATAACCCATATTTTCCACATAATCTGTATCCAGTAAGGCAGGGTAAGGCAGCACATGGCATCGCTCAGCGGGATGGGGGAACGGGTGAAGGGAGCCAGGTGAGGGAATGTACAACAAAACTGAGCACCTGAGGACAAACAGCACTGAGAGCAAACCTCAGCCGTGCCAGCCAGGGCCTGGCACCCCTCCAGAGGCTATTTCTGCAGGCTGACATCATGCCCACATCCTCACCCTCATCCCTCCCTGCTCGTGCCACCACGAGCTGCCGCTGGGAAGAGCTGGGGGTGCCCGGGGAGCAGCTTCCTGCAGCAAACCCCAAAGGTCACTGAGCAGGGGGGCTGGGAGGGGAGGCTGGGAGTGCAACTCATTTGCTCACACTTCTTGAAAAAGGCCAAAATAATCCTTTGGCGCGTTTTGGGCCCTTCACAGCCAAGTCTGGGAACTGCCCACATGGGGCTGGCACAGGGAGCACCAGGATCAGACAGACCTGGCTCGCGGCAGAGCCGCTGTCCCAGCTCCAGCTGGCTGCATCCCACCCTGCACCCACCCAGCCAGGGCACCCAGGCACGGCCAGACCCCACCCTGGGCCACAGGTACCTTCAATGATGTGTTTCCTTGAAAGGCCTCTCTCCGTTTCAGCTCTGCAAGGGAAAAACAGGAACAGGACTGTGAGAGACCAGAGGTGCCAACAACTGGGGAGCACTCACTGACTCCTATTCTGATTTAAACAGCCCCAAAATCAGAATAACAAACTGGTTTGGGCTGGAAGGGACCTTAAAGACACTTACTTTCCACCCCAGTACAGCTTTGTTGTTATGACCAGACTGGACCTCCTGCAAACAAAGCAGAAAAAAAAATTATTACTAAATTAAAATAATATAAATAACCAAGCAGGATGCTGCCCATCAACAACTTCTGAAATCTAGAAACAGGATTTCTGCTGGCAGCACTCAAACAGGAAAGAGCAGGAGTGAACCACTGAGGAGACACCGACTCCAGTGCTGACTTGGGGGGAATTACCTCTGAATTGAGGGAACTTTGGCATCCCCTGAGCAAACAGGAGCTTCCATTCGTGTCAGGGAATGGCACCACTGTGCGTAGGGAGCTATTCCTCAGACATATGCTTTAAGCAGCAGAGGGGATCCAAGCTTTAATTTTTTTAGAAGATGGAAAGTGAAGCGCCCTGAAGGCATTTTGGCAAAAAATTTATTCAAAAATATTTAGGGCATGAGGAAATGGAATGAAGCTGCATGAGGGGAAGTTGGGATTGGACATTAGGACAGGGGTCCAGAAATCAAAGGTAATTCAAGTGAAGCAACCAAAAAAACCTCCAAACATTTTGAATTACAGCATGAGCAATCTCCAGACCTTTAACCAAGGGCTACAGCACTATTCCCTCCTGCCAGCCATGCCCAGTGCTTCTCATTATCATGCAGTCTTCCCAGAGTCATTAAAACTCAAGTGATCCATCTGAATAAATCTATAAACTCCTACGTGATGTTAAATCAAGGATTTATCATTCTCCAACCACCTTGCTGCATAACCAGACACGTACAAAACCATTTCTCCACCCTTAATTGGACTTTTTTTCTTCCACAGCATGCAGAATATTTCTTACTGAACAATCACTCACCCCCCTAACACAGGGATGCTGATTTTGGAGGCAGCACTGCTAGAACCATCCTTCAGTCAGTCTGGCTATGACACACTGGAGGTCTTAAAAGATTATGTAAATGCTCTTTAAACTGCACAACATATGCTAATGTGCATCGTTTGAATTAGGTATCACCTCCTGCCAGGCTCCCCGAGATGAAGGCCCGTCACAGCTTTGCATCCTTAATCCACACCTTAGGGGCACATCACCCACCCAACGGGTGCTGGACACGCTCCCAGGCTGTGTTGGGTGACATGACGGTCCCATGGGGGGGTCACAGCCTCCTGAAGCCACTGTGCACTCCCAAAACATCCAGGGGAGTGCTTTTGTTTGGCAGTGGAGAGCTCTGGCTGCTCCCTGAGTGACTGTCACACAGCAGCACTCGCTCCTGGGATGGCACCACCCAACAGTCCAGACGGACTGTCTTATGCCAAAGGGTTCTACTTGTTTGTGGGGGACAGGGAATGCCATACAGTACCTCCAGCCCTTCTTCTTCAGGATGTTGCCCAGGATGACCTCAGCCCTGTGCAGGAGAGAGCCCGGCGTGAGGGAGGCAGGAGGATGCTCAGCACCACGGACACCATCGCCCCCGTCACCCGACCTGTGCCCCCCACACCAGCCTGCAGCTCTTCCCCTCCCCTCCTGACATGACTCCCACCAGGGACAGACCCCCTCTGTCAACCCAAAGCATCTTATCCACCCATTCCTGCAGGGACAGACCCACATCCCTGATCCCCACATCTGCTGGACCCCAGTCTGGGAAGCAGAGCCGCTCTGGCCCCACAGCAGGGACACGATGTCCCAGCCCACCTTCCACACCGAACACGAGCCATATAAATCATCCCCAGGCAGATTTATTAGGGATGGATGTTTCCCCCACTCCACAGTGACACTAAGAGCATTAGCTCCGCTGCAGCCAGAGCTGTTCCCGCTGGGATCCGCGCCGGGAGCTGTCACGGGTCCCGGCCATTCATCACCATTAAGATCCACTCTGACTTTTCATTTATTCAGGATATTTTTCTCCCTGTGCCAACAGCAAGGGGCACGAGAGATACAATCCAATCTGTGCAGAGCACAAGAGGATTTGGGAAATTTATCTGATTTTCTTTCTGAGCGCTCCAAATACAAAGGTTTCCCAGGGAGAGAGGGGCTCTCTGAGCACTGCCAGAGCCCAAACCAGCACCCAAACTATCACCAGGGGATGTGCCACAGGGAGGAGCAGAGCCAGTGTCCTGCCCACAGAACCAGAAGGTCCCTCAGGTCCCTCCCAAGCCATCCCCAGGAGCAGGACCCTGGCACTCACTTGCCGGCCGCGTACACCTCGGCCGTGTCGAACAGGTTGACGCCGCTCTCGTAGGCGATGGTCATCAGCTGCTCGGCCACCTGGGGCAGGGAGGGAGGAGGGGGGACAGGGGTCACATCCTGAGCCAGCAATCCCCTCCTGCACCAGGAAAGGCCCTTGAGGGCAGCAAAGGGGCTCCAGCAGGGCTGGGAGGGGTGTGAGCATCCCCTGCCCAGGGGAGACCCTTGGACAGGGCACCCAGGGGGTCCTGCACTGGCCAGAGAGGCACCACAACGTGGATTGGCACCAATTTCCATTTGACTCACCCTGGCAGGAATTAGTCTCTTCCCACAGGAGCTTTCTAACAGGAAAGCAGCCAAGAACTTAATAGGTTTACAGAAGATACTCTGCAAATCTACGGAGTTTAACACAGAATGATGAGTTTAATATTTTCTTGGCTGCCTGACGGGCTGTCCTGCAGCTCCCCAGCGATGCCATGGGGCATGAAAACACCTGCAAGTCATTTTGTGGGGTCCCCATGGGGGTCTCGCTGCTCCCTGGGGGATCCTGCCCTTCAAGGGGCTGGAAGCTCTGAGCCAGTATCCCAAGGGTGGGCATCCCTCAAGGATGGGGCTGTGTTTCTGCCCTATTTTTCCACGTATGACCCCTTTGCACGGCCTTACTCAAGGTAAGGAGGGCAGGAGTACAGGGAGCAAAGTGATCATGGGAACAAATCATCTCATAGTGCCAAGAGATAAACCTGGTGATCCACCAGGAGAAGCAGCAATACCAGGAAAGATCAAGTGAATTAAAAGGCAAACCCCTTTGAGTTCAGGCTCCTGGGCTCTTTTCCTCATTCCAGAGCTATTTTGGTGGTTCTCCCATGCCCTGGGGGAAGGCAGCTGGATGGCTGCTCTCCCGTGGGCACTCACATCTGGAGTGTACCTGGGCTGGAGGGAAGCCCAGGTGCTGCCCAGCGCTCCGGGATCAACGGAGACCAGAAGCCATCTGCTCCAGGGAGGAGCACGGATGAAACCCGAGCTCACTCCCATTTGTTTCAGATCATTATGTAAACACAAACCACCCTCGTGAGCCCAGCCCCTGCCTGTGTTTACAACTGGTGCCCATTTCATCCACAACAGAAGCAGTGCCCAATTTCCACTCTGAGATCGGTGCCGCTGCCAGTGGGGACAGCATGGAAAAGGAGATGGCTCTAAGGGATACATGGATAGATGGGGTTTGTTAGAGCTGGTCTCTGGAAATGTCACATTCGTTAGGGGTTTGCAGCAGCAGTTTTGTGCAGCTCCTCCAGCTCTGGTAGCAGTGGTTTCACCAAAAACACCTCACCCTGCTCTGTACCTCCTGCTTTGCACTGAGACTGAGCAGCACTCACCTCGTCTGAGATCTGACCCCCAAAAGTGACCCATGTCCCTGGAAAAAAACACAAAAGAATCTGTTACTACAAGAGGCTTTTAACATCCAAAATTTCACTTGACCAAAATTCAGGCTCCTTGGGGTTAAATGGGTTTAAAATGGCGTGAGCTGGTTCAGAGGGTGGTGTGTGCCCAGGAGAGCTCCTGCAGGGCTGACATGGAGCCCCCTCTCCCAGGGTGGGAAAGCACATGGAGGTGCTCAGGGCAGTGCCAGGGGATGTTGTTCTGCCAAAATACAGTTTGATTCAAATCATAGAATCACCAGAGAGTGGCTTGGGTTGGAAGGGACCTTAAAGTTCATCCAGTCCCATCCCCTGCCATGGGCAGGGACACCTTCCACTGTCCCAGGTTGCTCCAACCTGGCCTTGGACACTTCCAGGCCTTGAAATCTGAAGTTCTTTGCAAAACAGTTTGTTTTCCTAAGCTTCAATTTGATAAATTGGGAAAAAAACTTAATGATGCTGCCTCAACACATCATTTGGGGAAGGAAAATCTTCTTAAATATGTGCTTCATTCCACATCGTACAGGCCAAAATGAGGAAAAATGATTAAGAAAGAAATATTTCTTTTGACGTGAAGTATTTAAAACCCAAAGTGACTTTTCCCTGGAACTTTTCCATAAAGCAAATGTCCAAAGCCAAGGCAAAGCCAGTGGGCAGAGCTTTCCTTAGGCTGGCTCCAAAAGGAGCTGCAGTTTAGACTCAGTTGCAGGCTCTGGTCTATTATTAGGAAAACCTGGGGCATTATTTCTTCAGGATCATTGCCTCAAAAAAAATTAATCTGTGGTGGAAACAACGTGTGGATTTAACCAGATCATGGAATAGTTTGTGTTGGAAAGGACCTTTAAAGGTCACCCAGTCCAACCTCTCAAGGAATTCCCATAGGAACATTATCTCCTGTATGTATTTTATATATACATATTTAAGGAATACATATTTCCTAAGGAACTGGCAGAAAAAGGGAGCTGGGGAAGCCCCAGGTCACTGCTCAGCCCTCCCTCCACCCCTGCCCGTGTGACCTCACCCAATCCCCCGGGGCAGCAGCAGTGGCTGTGCCATGGCCTGTGCCAGCTCCTCACAACACCCTGTGACCTGCAGCACAGCTTCCCCTCACGCTGCTCCACAGCTCCACTGCAGCTGGGCACAGAAGCACATGTCACTCACTGAAGGGACAGGGCAGAGCCCACGTGGCTCACACAAAACACTCCAGAATTTAAAATTCTGACTTAAAACATCCCTCCATAAGGAAAATAGAGGGGTTCAGGCTCCAAGCTGGAAAAGCCGGTGAGATTTTTCCCCATCTCTAAACGTGTTCCAGGCCAGATTGGACTTCAGTGATCCCTGTGGGTCCCTTCCTACTGAGAATATTCTGTGATTCTAAGTTGGACAGGGCTTGGAGCAGCCAGGTCTAGTAGAAAGTGTCCCTGTCCTTGGCAGGGGGTTGGAACTGGATGGGCTTTAATGTCCCTCCCACCCAAACCTGTGTGTGAGTCATGATCTGAGCGAGGCAGGGACTGCAGTGCCAGTGAGGGGTCGAGCTCTGACGCTGCCAAGGGGCAAGACTTCAGTTCTCCCTGCCTGGTGGCACTCACAGAGATGCAGCAGATCCCTAAGTGCTCCCACACCCTCATGGGGAGGGTGAACCCTGAGCAGAGGCAGAAGCGGGGCAGGTCCCTGCTGCTCCCTCCGGAGCTCTTTGATCAGCCCTGCCTGGAACAGAACAGGAGTCGTCGTCTCTGTCAGGAGAATCTTGCTCTCTTTCCCTCAAAAAAAGGTCAATCTGAATTTTTTAATACATCAGGTTTCTTTGAGTGCAAACAAAGTTATTTAAAGACACACAAAGTGTGAGTTCAAACCAAAACTCCCGATTTTCCCGCAGAAAAACCCGAGCCAAGTTTTCACAGATCAGAAATATGGAAATAAAAGAAATGAGCAAAGAGCACACATATTTCCAGCTAATTTTACACTTACTGCTGCTCTCTATAAGGGCAATAATGGGGCAGGAGCTACCCCTGCAACACCTTACTGGTTATAGACCTCAGGAGAGGTATTTTCTCTTACTGTGGGAGTAAAATGCTCTGGTCCTGCACAAAGATAAAAACGAAAGCAGGTTTCAATTTATCATTAAGCTTCTTCATGTAGATAAAAAAACCCCACCCAAATGAAGCCTGATTTCCATGTTAAAGCTTTGGAGGTGTTATTTTTATAGGAATACATTAAAACATGTTTCTATCAAAAAATGGGTTGAGATTGTTTATCCCAAAGTGATGGTTTTTTTTTTTTTTTGCATAAGCAGCACTCAGATCCCTAGCACAGGTGAGAAAGAGAAATATTTTTACCTCTGTGGACTGCATATCCTGCCTGGAATTTCTCTGGCTGTGGCCTTTTGACACAAACCACACCCCACCAAGGGACAGGAGGATGATGTGCTCAAGGGTTTGGGCACACAGGGCTGGCAATGGCTCATGTAAGAATAACAAGCACCTTAAATCTCTTTAAATGCAAGTAAAAAAATATATGATACAGGATCTACCTGCCCAAGATCCATCTGTGCCCCCAGACCCAGCTGAGGGGACAGGAGGGGCTGGGGACACTGAGCACCATCAGGAGCACGTGGGTGGGGAATCCTTGGGGTCTCTTTTTGCCATGATCATCACAAAAACCAGCAGGAAGGGAAGTTTGGGCTCAGCAAGGTGATCTCTAAACCATCAGATGTGGTTGGGAAAGGGAGAAGCTCTGGTAGGGAGTCAGGAGCAGGGAAGGCAGCACAGGAATCTCCCTCCACGGCCACCCTTGGGCAGTTGGGGTGGGGGGCACCCACTCCCTGAGCAGCTGGGGCAGAGGCACAGCATGGCAGAGGCACAGCCTGGCACAGGCACAGCATGGCAGAGGCTGCTCAACTCCCTTTTAAAATGAAATTTTTTAAAAAGGCAAAAATAAGCACAAGGCACATTTGGCATTTTAAACAACAGCCAAGGATGATTCACAGCCTCAGCCAATACACTCATTTTGGAAGAAAAATATACTGGAGAAAGACATGCCTTGTTTAATTGCTACTTTCCCCCTTTCCAGTCGCTGTCTCTCTAGCTTATCCCAATGCATGGTTTATAAAGACATCCTCTGCCCTGGGGCTCAGCATGGCAGTGGCAGACAGACCTCTCTCTCCTGCCCTTTGCCATCACCTTGCTCCCTTGCCTTGGAAAACAGCTTCCCAACTGGATATCCTCCCCTTCAACAGGAACTTCTGCATTAAACCCAGATTTGGCTCCATTTCCATCACACCCCCGAGCCCAGCAAGGTGTGATTCTTTGTGGGATTTGTGCCAATGCAAAATCCACCCCTTGCTAATGTCACTGCCAGCAGATGTGTCACCTCTGCAGGAATTCCTGGCTGAACTCCACACTTCCCCTGCTGCCAGCACAGTGTTATCCCTGCCCTGCTCCTGGCGAGGACGGTGCCACATGGAGCTCTGGCACGTGGGGCTGGTCTGGAGCCCAGCCCTGAGCACAGCAGGAGCCTGGGCTGGGAGTGCAAAATCCCTTTCCCAGGGCAAAGCCCAAGGTGGAAACAGCAGCATCTGACCACTTTGGGCTGAAAAACATCTATTTTCGTAGCCAATTTTGAGCACAGGGTATCCCAGCAGTGGCTGCAGGAATTGCTTGCTTGGGGAGGGTTTTTTCTGTGCTTTTGTAGATGCTTTTGTGATTTGGGATGGCTGTTTTTGTCCTGCTGCTCGTTTCCTTTGAGCCAGGGCTCAAAGCTTGTTGGAGGCTGTCTCAACATTCTCTCAAAATCAACAGGAATCCACAGGCAGGATTTGGTCTGAACTAAATACATGAGAAACATGACCTTGTTTTTCCCCTGCATCACAATCACGTTTTGGATGCAGCATCAGGCCAAGAGCTTTGTGCCAGCCCAGGGCTGGGCTGTGAAGTTCCCTCAGGTAAAGCTTCACCTGGAGCTAAGGTGCTCAGAGGAGGAGGTGAGAGCTCAGCCCAGTCAGGAGCAGGACTCAGCACCAGGGAGCTGCAGGAGCCTGGGCCAGGGAAGCTCAGCCTGGCAGCTCAGTCCAGCAACCCAGGAACGATGCTCAGCCTGTGCTCCAAGGGGCTCAGCTCCCCAGAGCAATGCCCAGCCACCACCCAAGGGGCTCAGGGACCCCTCCCAAATGTCTCTGCCTGTGGAACATGCTGCCAACTCACCTGTCCTGCACTTGCTCAACACTGGTGGCACCACACACAGCCCCCAGCAAACACACTCACGGCCACGTGAGTGGGAAAGGCAGGGCATCATTAAAGGGCCTGTGCTGCCTCAGCCCTTCCTGCCTTTGATTTCTGCCCCACTTCCCGTTTTTCTCCACTTTTTCATCCTGCAGGATGAAGAGCACTCCCACCTTGCTGAGATTTTGCAAGGCTTTAGAGGAAGACTGCTGAGCCCTCAGAAACTTTAGTGAACCTTAAATTAGATTTTCATGCTGCAGAGAGCGTAGGGAAACACATTTATCTTTTGGGGAATTGCAACAGAGAAGGCATTTAGAAAAGTCATATAAGGCAGCGCTGGGAACAGACACCTGATGGATCTGCAGTGGGAAAGGTGGGACAAGGGGGATGGTTTGAAAGTGAAAGAGAGGAGATTTAGATTAAATAGGGAGAAATTCTTGGCTGAGGGTGGGGAGGCCCTGGCACAGGTTGCCCACAGAAGCTGTGGCTGCCCCATCCCTGGGAGTGTCCAAGGCCAGGTTGGATGGGGCTTGGAGCAACCAGGGATAGTGGAAGAGGAGTGGAACTGAATGGGCTTTAAGGTCCTTCCAATCCAAGCCATTCTATGATGTGTTGTGGTGTACATTCCAGAGAATTCCCGAATTTCAGGCTTTCCAGCTCTGCTTTCCCCTATTCCTGCTCACAGGGCAGGGGCTGTTGGGATCAGTGCTGCTGGAACAGGCTGAGATGCCCAGCAGCCCCCCCAGCCCCCCACATCCCTGCACAGCTGTGCTCACAAAGGCTCAGTATATTTAGCTGCTGCTGCAGTTCCACCCGCTTGAAATTAAAGAAAAGCTCTACAGAATGTTTTTCTTTTCCTGCTGCTGCTTCCTTCCCGGAGCTTTTCTCCACCACCACAACATCAGCACTTGGGGAAACTGTGGATGATAAATAAAACCTCTGCACAGATAAGACAAGTCCTTTCCAAGGCTGGGTCTATTTTAACCAGAAGGGCTCTTGGCAGAACGGGCCTTATTTATATGACTCGTGGTACAGGGTGACTTTCACAATCCACTCTATTTTAAAATCAAACCTCGGAGCGTGTTGGAAAAAATGAGCTGACACCTGCCCTGTGAGCATTCCCAGCCCTGGCAGGGATGGAGCTGGAAGGGGATCCCACAGCCTCAGTGGTGCCAGGTACAGGCAGAGAGCCCAGGGCCTGCCATCACCCACTGGCTCCCAAGGCAGCAACACCTGGATCTCAGGAATGCTCAGCCTTGATCAGTGCCACCTGGGCAGGTAAATCCCCTTGGGTTTACCCCTTACACTCCCAGAACCCCTGTGCTCTAACAAGCTCCTCTTTTCCAACAGCCTCCAGACCTTATTCTTCTGTCTGAACAACAGCCTGAGCTGAATAATCATGGAGTGGTTTGGGATAGGAGGGACCTTAAAGCTCATCCAATTCCAACACCCTGCCGTGGGCAGGGACACCTTCTGCTATCCCAGGTTGCTCAAAGCTAATAACGATATTATTGTTAAATAATGTTACTGTTATTGGACTTTCCAAGGAAAATTCCAGTAACTACCGACCCAAATTGCATCCAGGATGGAAATGTACTGATGACTAAAGCCAAGCATCCTACAGGATGCTTGGTCACGAGCCTACAGACAGGACAGGAGTGTTTCCCCGAACTCAAGGAGAATGTTTCACAGGTTTATACCTCAGAACAGACTTCTTGTGTCTGTGTGTATGTAAATTGATTTAAATACTCTGAGTGAGTGTAGACGAATGTTGCCATCTTAGATTCGTAATTAGCTTAGGCTCATAATTAAGTTACTGTTGTGCTTATAGCAAATCCTATTGAGTCATTTTATAAATGTTAAATTAGCCAACTGATTAAGCACTGCCACTGTTGTGTTGATTAAGCATTGCTAAGTCCTTTAGACCTAAACCACTGATCCAGTCTAAGGCCAAGTTTGGCCCAGAGGGCTTCTCTGAACCCTGTGACTCAACAGGAGGGTCTCCCTGCCCCTTTGCATCCTCACCCTCCTCTGTCCCACTATCCACATAAATCATTGGAGACTGATTTTAATCCGATTTTCCCTTGTGTGCTCTGTATAGTAACAGAAAATACATAGTGATAGAACTGTGCCATCAAACTCTGTCATGCTTTTACAAATTCATATTAAACCTGGTTTTGCCGATACCTTTTCCAGTGATTCTTTAAGCAACCTAAACCATGCTGGTGCCTCCAGCTACCTGTGCCAGCCTCTCTGACTCCCCAGGAACAAGGACCCCTATTAAAACAGGGCTGGAGGGGCTCTGGCAGAGCATCCATCCATCCCTGGGGGGGGGCTGTGCACATCCCCAGGGTGTTTAAGCTCCTGATGTCCAGCCTTGCACTGTGGGAAGGTGCTCACAGTGAGAAAACAGCCTCCTCCTTTCCACAGCATTTGGTTTTTATAAAAACATCTATATCCCTGCACTTTCAAGCACTGTGCCATGTGTGGTTCAGCTGCCATCAGAGGGATTACTCGCCTGAGTAAAGCCATCAGGAGGGATGCAGCCCAGGGCACAGGAGCAGCCATGGACGAGGGGCTGTGGGAGCTCAGCATCCCTGGGGGCCCTGCAGGGCCAGCACGTGGGTGTGCTCAGACAGGCCCCTCTGGATCAAATATCGATAGGATAAAATATTGATGAGGTGTTCTTTACTTTTTCAAGTCAGTATGGAACAGGAATAGCAAGGTACAAAGGCTGGATAAAACGAAATAGGAATGTGCCCCCAGCCCAGGCAGATTGGTGCCCCCGAGGCCAGAGCTGGGACACTCAGAGCTCCTGGGCACACTCAGACATGTCAGATGGGACCTCTGTGGGCTGTTCCTCGCAGGCTTTAGGGCACATCAGAAGGATTTGATGACACAACCCCTCATGCAGCTTGAGCACTGAAGGGGGAGAATATTGTGGAAGCCAAAGGTACTCACCCAGTCCAAGGCACGACACTCTCAGCCCGGATTTCCCAAGGTTCCTAAGGTGAAAAGAAAATAATTAGAAAATACTATTCCTTCCCAATATCCTGCCCAAGCTGGTGGATTCTCCACAAACCCAATGTCCCATAGTTTCCCACTCCAGTGGAGGCAGCACCAGGATCCCCAACACCAGCTGCTCCTCCACAGCCAGGAGATAAAATTATCACCCTTCTCTCCTCCTCCCTGAGCCAGGCTGGAGACAAGATAATCAGCCCTGAGACAGTGCAGTGTGCCACACATCAAACCCCTGTCCTGTCACCACAGCACAAAATCCCCTTTAATTACAAAATCCCCTTTAATTCCACCCTCCTGCTCCAACCTCCGCAGTGCAGCCAGGGCTGGGCAAGTGTTCTGCCAGGTCACAGTATAATTTAGGGACCATCCATCTACCTTTCCCTGCAGAGCGCCACAAACATTCCCAGTGCTTTTTGCTGCTCCTGCTGAATTATTTAAAGCCAAATAAAATAAAATAAAACAGAAGAAAGAGGCCTGCTCACCCATGGGCAGGGTCAGGACAAAACACCCGACATTAGCACAGGTTGTGCCCTGTGCTTTCAGCTCTTTCTCTTTTTACACGCTGGATTCTGTGGCCATTTCAGGTTTTCATTCCCATGGCACAGTTTCCCCCTGGAGCACAGCCAAAGGCATCCCCAGGGGGGCAGGAGGGCCAGCCCAACACCAGCCAGCACCCTCGGCACTGAGGTGCCCACTCTCCCACCACTCCAGGACCCCTTATGCCACTGCTGCACCCAAAATTTAACTCTGATGACGGGAATTTAAAATTGTGGGAGACACAGGAACTTGACCTGGAGTAGCTATTTGAGAAGCTGCAGTTGCATCTCCAGCCCCACAAGCCCCCAGGCTCACAGCACGGCTGGGGCAGGCACTGACCTGATTCTATTTCTGTTCTATTTTTTCTTCTTTCCCCCCCCTTCTATATTTTCTTTCCTTTTTTTTTCCTTATCTTTTTTCTTTTCTTTGATTTTTTTTTGTTTTTGAGTGCAAGCACAGCTGGACCCTGCAGCCCAAACCCAGAACAGCACAAACACTGCCCATCCTCCCCAGCACAGAGTGTAGCCCTCAGAATGTTCAAATCCAAACCCCAGCAGCTGCCTGGGTGCTCCAGGCAGAGCTGCAGTGCTGCAGGAATTCCGGATTCCTAGTGTTGGGATTTCTGCTGGACACAGCCCACCCGCTGCATAACACCCTGTGGAGCCAAGGGCTGCTGTTCATTCCCAAACAGTTCAGGATTATTTTAGGAAAGAGGGTTTTTTAAATCCTATTTCTCCCCGACCTGTTCTTTGCCTTTCAAAGTCTGGCTTTGCAGAGGCTCGTGGCTGTGAGGGCACAGCTCAGCCATGTGCCCCTCTCTCTACATAAATATAAATATATATGTATATACACACACATATACCCTTTATAGATGCATTTGCATATATATTGTTTATATGTACCCCTATATATATATACGCACACATATACCCTTTATCTATATGCATGTACATATCCTTTATATGTAGGTTTTTATATATATATACACACACACGCACATCCTCAAATATATATATGCATGTATACATTGTGTATATGTACCCCTTTTTTATATATATACACACACCCCTTTTTATATACACAGAAACCACTTGATACATAAACACACATATACCTGTTATCCACATGCCAACACATATCCTCTATATACACCCCTTTATACATATATATATGTGCATTTATATACACACGGTGTGTGAATCCCTATGGTGTCTCCATGCATTTATAGGGGTCCCCACTCCTCCAGCAGTGGGGTCTGTCCCAGGGTCTCAGCCCAGACACCAGTGACTGTCCAGTCCTGTCCTGTCCTGTCCTGTCCTGTCCTTCCCCACAGGTCCCCTGGGCCACAAAGCCACATCAGGGCTTGTCCCTCCCCGCTCCTGGGATTTGAGGGGTACAACACACTCAGTTTTGTTCCAGGGAGCAATAACCAATTCTTTGGACAGTCTGGTAAACCAACAAATCTGGAGAGAAATATTGTGTTTGGATTTCCAAAGCTTTGCCATTTGCTTAGCACACACATGACCTGGATATTTGGAAGGTTTCTGTTGAGAGCCAATGCTGAAAATGCCAAGTTTCTTAGTGCAAGATCCCTCTGGCAAAGAGAGCTCAGAGGGTGCAGGGCAGGAGCATTCCTGAGCCCACAGCCCAGCCTGGAGAGCATCACCAGGTCTGCTCCCATCTCTGGCACTCAGAGACTCTCTGATGAGGGGGAAAGTGGAGAGGCCTCACCAACACAGGGAGCCACCAAACCAGTTGAGAACTGGTCCCACTGGGGATGCCTGAGCTCCCAGCACAGCCCCATGCTCTTGAAAAGCTCCCAGGCACTGGGCTGATTCCCAGACAAATTCCTGCTCTGCCACAGGAGCTGGTAGAGCGTCAATTCAAGACCTGGTTCTCCTCTACCTCCCTGAACAGAAGAAGAAAAACCAACAAAGACCCACAAAAATACAAAAACCCACCAAGTAAATATATCTATACATTTACACCTATTTTGCAGCTTCCAGGTGTATGTGTATATATCTGTATATATCACACAGATACAGAGACACACACATCTGAAAGCTGTAACATTGCCAAGTAAAATCAGTGGTCAGTCTCCAAGTAACAGGCCAGTAAATACTTTTTGTGCTTCTCTTGCACTGCTTCCCAGGGCTGAGACAATTAACCAGCTCAGTCCCTGGAGCTGAAGGGAGAGTAGCTCCACCCCAGACAGCCTGGAGCATCCACCAGCGGTGGTACCCGACATCCCCCCTGCCCACAGCCTTTTCTCCCAAACTTGCACCACAAGTGAGACCTGAAGGTGTTCAGCACCTCACCCCTGAGTTCTTTTAAACCAGAGTCCAAAATCAAACAGCACCACACCAGTGTGCTCCCCACAGCTATGGCAGAGCCATGCCTGGCCTCTGGAGGAGCCCCCCAAAGGGGTGGAATGGGGAAAGGAACAGGAAGGACGGGATGTTGTGGCAGGGCACGGGGCACCCCCCTCAGTGCCCACAGAGGAGTGTACAAACCTCCCCAGGAGCACCCGGGGCACCCAAACCTCCAGCACAGGGCACTTGTAGCCACCTCATTGCATAGAAGCCACAGGGCATGGGGTTTTTTTGTGAGGAAAAGGGACACCACACTCTTCCTGCTGTTTGTAGCTTTAAGAAAGATGTGTTTTAAGCTTAACTTTAAATCTTCCCAGTTTCCTTCTCCAGGGAGCAGCCTCAGGGCAGGGGAGCACAGCATCCGTATGGTCCCATCCTGGAGGCCAGGACGGAGCAGGGGACAGCGAAAGACATGGGGACACAAAGCCCCCCCCCGAGAGCCCAGCCCTGCAGGTGGGTCTGACACAGCCCTGCTTTCCTGGCACAAGCCCACGGTGACATTTTCCCCGCACGGCAGGAGCCGGAGCCAACAGCCCCGTCCCCGCAGCACCAGCGGCTCCGCCAGATTGCGCCGGGTTGGCGAGCGGGGCCGAGCCTCTGAATCACGGCAAACACAGCTTGGAGTCAGGGCTGTTGTTAAAAATACACCCAGGCACCAAAACAGCGCTCGGGGAGGGGTGACATTTCCCTTGACTAGGCTTTTCCAAGCGGAGGGCACAGCGTTTCCCGGGAGCCGCGGGTCCCTGCCGCCGTCTCTCCCAGATCCCGGCGGCCGTGGCAGCATCCACGTGCCGGCAGCCTCCAGGAGCCGCAGCTAAATGCCAGGCAGCCCCACGCAAACAGCCAGGCAGCACGTGCCAGCAGCCTGGCAGGGAAAAGGCTGGGAAGAGGCGTCAGCCCAGCACCCACTGGAGCCGGGAGCCCCCGGGAATGAATGAATGGCACCTTCCTGCCCAGCAGGACCCTCGTGGGTGGCACGGCCACAGGGCTGGTCACCAACCCCTCTGTCCCACAGCAGCTCTGCCCAGGAAAACCACATCCTTGTTTTCTCTTGCCACATCCATGCCTGCTCCTTCCTCATCCTCCTCCATCACTCTCAGGTTCGGAGTCACTGTCCCCATTGTTGTAGGGATTTTCCCTGGGATGAGCTCAGATTTTTGCCTGGCAGGCAGTGAGAGGGTATCAGCTCTGTGGGTGGAGGGGTTATTCCAGCTGCACAGAGACCTGGAAACTCTTTGCTCAACTGCTCCTGCCCCTTCCCAGCTTGCAGCAAAGAGAAAAACCCCTACCTGGGCAGCAGTATCACATCCCCAGAGCTCAAGGGCACAAAGGGCTCCAATTCACTTCACCTCTGTGACCAATTCCCACTTCCCTCACTTCCAGCAGATTCACCACCCCTTATCAGCAGCTCAGCCCTGCCTGGGGACCAGACCCGGCTCCTCACATTCCACCTCGGCTGCTTGTGTAGAACTGGAGAGGAAAACCACAGCCCAAACTCCACCACAGCACTCAGTCCTTTAAACATGGAAGAAGTTGTACTCAGGGAAGACACTTTGGTTCTGGACCTGCTACGATGCTTAATAAGCCCGAGTTAATTATTTTGCCAGAAACAAGCAGACAAATGAAACTGGTGTTTCAGGGCCAGCGTAGGTCGATGCAGGACAACGAGGCACAGCCAGGACCCAGCCCTGTGGACACGCTCAGGGCTGCAAAAACCTCCAGCTTCCCAAAGCTGGGGGGGGAAAGCAGCATTTTGCTTGTTAATCACTTTGCTGTGAGCAGATTATGGGCAAGGGGAACACTTCAGAGGTGTGTCTGCTCAGGAGTGACGGGTAAGAAGAGCCTGTTTGTGTCTGAGGAACCACGGTCCAACACGCACAGGAAAGGTCAAGGTGACAATTTTTGGCTTCAAAAACCCTTTGGTTCAGCATCAGGAAGTCAAAATGACACAAAGAGAGAAGGGAGGACTGACATCCTGCAGGAGTACAGAGGGGTGATGAGAGCAGTTAGAGGCACTGGGATAAAGCCTGCTGGTGAAAAGATAGGGGAAAAGTACAGCTTGTCAGGACTCTCAG